GGATCCCATATGGGCGCCGGTTCTAATCCCGGCAGCCCCGCTTCCCTTCCAGCTCCCTGCCTGTGGCCTGGGAAAGCAGTTGAGGACGGCCCAAAGCTTTGGGAACCTGCACCCGCGTGGGAGACCCGGAAGAGGCTCCTGGCTTCGGATCGGCATAGTATCGGCCCGTTGCGGCTCACTTGGGGAGTGAATCATCGGATGGAAGATCTTCCTCTCTGTCTCTCCTCTCTGTATATCCGCCTTTCCAATAAAAAAATAATAAAAATAAATCTTTAAAAAAAAAAAAAAAAAATTACACTCTTCTGCCATAAGCCAAATCAATCAGACTTTTTTTTTTTTAAGGTTACAATACAAACCTCTGTGTGCCACTTCCTTATCTGAACACGTAACTTCCTTCTGGCCTACCAAGCAGCAGTCAGAAGCTCTGAGGTTCCTGCCAGTCTGGACCACCGGTGACAAAACTCAGGGGTCCCCTGCTTCCAACACACTACACAGGGTGCCAAAGGATGAGGCCTTACACGACACCCAAGTGTAGTCTTGCAGCTACTTGATGCAGTAAGGGGACTAGGTGTCCCAACATCTGTCAGCATCCTGGTCCTTGACTAAACTATTCCCCAGCCCCTGCTGAACACTGAGCACTATTCAGTCCAAATCTCTTCCTTCCTCAGCACACCTGTCTGCCCGGGCGCCATCAACAGACGTGGGCTCGAAGTTTCACAGCTCTTCATTACCCAACACTGCGATGCTACTGTGGTGTACTTGACAGTGTGACACACAATTATTCTCTCCCACACAGGTAATTAACACAAGCCAGACCAAGGAGGGCCATGCAAGAGGAGAGGATTCAACACCCAGGAAATCACAAGTTCCTGAACAAACATGACTCAGAGTTTCCCATGGGACTCACACTCCAATTACACACTCTCGCCAGTGCCTGTGGCAGGTACATAAAGGGCCCAGGCCACGTGCTTCACTCCCTCCGATCGCAGCCAGCTCAGGCAGGCCAGTCTGAAGCTACGTGTAAATTGGATTTTCTCCCAGCGGCCAAGAATTGCTTCAGGCTTGTAGCACGCTCCTTGACAGTACAATGAGGGGGCTGATGTCCGGGCGCATACGGTAGGTCAGAAGGACTGTGATGCCAGCATCCTAGAGGAGCCCTGGTTTGAGTCCTGGCTCCTCCACTTCCAATCCAGCTCCTGGGTAATGCCTGGGAAAGCAGTCCAGGACAGCCCAAAGCCTTAGGACCCTGCACCCGTGTGGGATACCCGGAAGAAGTTCCTGGATCCTGGCTTCGGATTGGCATAGCACTGGCCGTTGCGCTCACTTGGGGAGTGAATCATCAGATGGAAGATCTTCTTCTCTGTCTCTCCTCCTCTCTGTATATCTGACTTTGCAATAAAAATAAATCAATCTTAAAAAAAAAAATAGAGGAGGTAGTAGGGGACAGGACTGTGGCATAACAGCTGAAGATGCTGCCTGCCATATCAACATTCCGTAAGACTAACAGTTCCTGTTTGGGACGCTTCACTTTCTACCCAGCCTCCTTCCTATGACTTAGGAAAAGCAGGAGACGGTCCAAGTGTTCAGGCCCCTGTGGCCCACATCGGAGATCAGGATGAAACTCCTGGTTTCAGCCTGGCTCAGCCCTGGCTGTTACAGCCACATGGGGAGTAAACCAGCAGGTGGAGGATCTCCCTCTCTTTGTAACTATTTCAAACGAACAATTCAAAAGAAAGAAGGAAAGGGCCCCAGCACAGTAGCCTAGCAGCTAAAGTCCTCACCTTCAACACATTAGAATCCCATATCGGCGCCAGTTCTAATCCTGCACGCCCCGCTTCCCATCCAGCTCCCTGCCTGTGGCCTGGGAAAGCAGTCGAGGACGGCCCAAAGCTTTGGTGTCCTGCACCAGCGTGGGAGACCCGGAAGAGCTCCTGGCTCCTGGCTTTGGATAGACTTAGTTCTGACTGTTGTGTCCACTTGGGGAGTGAATCATCGGACGGAAGATCTTCCTCTCCGTCCCTCAAAAAAAAAAAACGAAAGAAAGAAAAAGAAAAAAACATTTTTATTGGAAAGTCATATATACAGAGAGAAAAGACAGAGAAGATCTTTGTCCGATGATTCACTCCCCAAGTGACCTCAATGGCCGGAGCTGAACCAATCAGAAACCAGGAGCCACGAGCTTCTTCCAGGTCTCCCACGCTGGTGCTAGGTTCCAAGGCTTTGGGCCGTCCTTGACAGCTTTCCCAGGTCACAGCAGGGAGCTGGATGGGAAGCAGGGCCGCTGGGCTTAAAACTGGTGCCTATACGGGACCTTGGCACATTCAAGGTGAGGACTATAGCTGCTAGACTACTGCACCAGGTCCTAGATTTTATTTTCTTTGCTGGATTCAGAACCCCACCCATGGGAAGAATCACAGGATGTGTGATTGGAGAGTGGAGTGTGTGTGTCAGATCTGGGACTCGTCTACAGCCATATCACCCTGAACGCGCCCAATCTCATCTGATCTTGGAAGTTAAGCAGGGTCGGACCTAGTTAGTACTTGGATAGGAGATCTGGACTCCTCAATGGCATGCATGCCCAGATGCACATGGAGAATATGGCAGTCCATTGGAGCAGGCAGAGGACATCTGGTAGCATAACAGAGGAAGGAGGGCAGAACAAGTTGGTCAACTACCCCAGCCAAGTGCTGGCAGGAAATATCTGGCTGAATGGAGACGCTAAGCTGGACTATGTTAGCCAATGGACCTTGGAAGGATTTGCCACCCTTGGATCAGCAAGATCAATAGCATTTCAGAACTACTGAAGCCAGTTGAACAGAACCACTGGAGCATGCTCCACACCAGGGACCCTGGGATGACGTCGGGTGGCCATTCCCCATCTCTAGGTTCAGAAGCCATTGGGAGGCTGTGTGCAATTTCTCCCCTTATTCCCTCACTTCCCCTAGATACAGGAAGAAAACAGAAAATGTGGAAAAAAATTATCTCACCCACTTTCCTCCAACCCTCAATCCTTCCTACCATAATCAACTATGTGAACATCATCAAAAGCAAAATTTTTACAAGATTTATTTCTTTTTAAGCGAAATACTTGTAGGATGAGGATTTAGCCATTGAACCATAGTGCTGAACCCATCAAATAACTCTTTTTTTAAAATTTAAACAATACAGTAAATTTGGTTTTTTATCTTTTTTTTTTTAACTTCTTATGTATCTTTATTTTTTCTTTTTAACTGGAAAGGCAGATCTACAGAGAATGAGAGACAAAGATTTTCTGTCCATTGGTTCACTTCCCAAGTGGCTCCAATGGCCAAAGCTGAGCAGATCTGAAGCCAGGAGCCTCTTCCAGATCTCCCACGTGGGTGCAGGGTCCCAAAGCTTTGGGCCGTCTTTGACTGCTTTCCCAAGCCACAAGCAGGGAGCTGGATGGGAAGTGGAGCAGCTGGGACATGAACCAACTCCCATATGGGATCCCAGCGGTTGCAAAGTGAAGATCAAGCTACTAGGCTACCGCACGGGGTCTTTTTTATGTTTCTGATAATCAAGTACAAACCCCAAAATCCAGGACTCAGCACACACAAGGACAACATTCCCCCTTTTCTTCATCTACACTGTCCTGGAAAGTGACATTCATAATATCCACATCTAGACAAGGAAGGTCAATAACCCAGGTAGGTAGCTCTTAAAATACAGCAGTTCACACTTAGGGCAATCAGCCTGGCAGTTGACAGCTGCGACACCGGTATGCCATTTTGGAGTTCCTGGGCTTACCTCCCACCTCCAGTCTCAGCTCTCTACAGTGCAGGCCCTGGAAGGCTGCAGGTTACAACTCAAGGAATTGGGCCCAGCACAGTAGCCTAGTGGTTCAAGTCCTTGCCTAGCACGTGCCACAGAGATCCTATATATGAGTACCAGTTCTAGTCCCAGCTGCTCCACTTCCCATCCAGCTCCCTGCTTGTGGCCTGGAAACCAGCCGAGGACGGCCCAAAGCCTTGGCATCCTGCACCAGCATGGGCGACCTGGCTTCAGATTGGCTCAGCTCCAGCCATTGAGGTCACTTGGGGAGCGGATCATCAGACGGAAGATCTTCCTCTCTGTCTCTCCTCCTCTCTGTATATCTGCCTTTTCAATAACAATAAATAAATCTTTTTTGGGGGGAAAAAAAAAGTCTCAAGAAATTGCGTTCCTGCCACCCACACGGGCGACCAGGTGGGTTGTTCCTGGCCTCTATTGTTGGGATCATCTAGGGAGCAAGTCAGGGAACCGGAGCTCTCTACTTCCCTGCCTCTCAACACAAAACAAAACAACATGAGTCAAATTTCCTCAATGAAGGGGGAAAAAAAAAAGTGAAATGAATTAGTGTCTGTTCCAATGTCAAGTTCTTAAATATGGCACAAATGACTATTGGGAGGGAAACTTTTAAATGTTAAGGTCTAGAGAACTACAGTCCCTTCTCCCTGGAGAAGACTCTTTGTAACTTGTGGTTAAGCCGACCAATCTGTGCTAAAGTTAGGCCTTTTCAACTCCCTGGGGTGAGCAGACACTTTTGTGTGCAAGTCTGTGTACTTTAGAAGTTGCAGTGGATTTATTCTCTCAGTAGTCTTTCATTGAAACCATCTGCAAATCTTCACTTGATGAACCTATTAAAAGGGTTGAATTTTCCCGTATTCTCGAATATTAGTAAATTTTAAAACATGCCAAAATGCTGGGCTGGTCAACCAGTTTCTTTTAAAATTGCTAATGAAGTACTAAGATTTTTTAGTTTCAAATTCATATACAGGAGAGGCCAGCACGCTTTTTTCCTTCCCTGATAGCTTCAATAGGTCTTACAGTAGCTTCTTTAAGCAGCCTGGTTTTTAAGACTGACTTCTTGTGGAGTCTGGGAACCTTTGCAACTCACAGCACAGAAAGGCACTTTAAGCCATGGCCAAGAGGTGTGCAAGAAAATTCCTGTGTAGAACAAGCTGATCTGAGCAAGCAACTGTATAAGAGAAGTGCCTTACCTTGTCAGCATAAATTGGAATATCATGAAACGGGGATATGTATTGTCCTTTTTCATTTTCTGCAAAATAAATTAGAAAAAGATACTGCTGTGATTATTGCCACTTCTAAACGCATGAAGTACACAAGATTGAGTTCCAATACCAGAAAAACTGGCTGCATACTTCAGCTTTCCTGACCCTCCCCCAAACCCGGGTAAGCTTTTCATCTGGCAGGTGTTAATCCATCCTGAGGTAAGAAACCTTTCACCCCCTTGGAAGGCACTGCCTCGTGCACAAGAAACAATCAGATGGTTCTGCACTGACCTTACATTAGCTGATAGTGTACAGAGCTTTCATGAAATACCTGAGGAGCAGCAGGGTGGGGACCAACCTGCTAAATTACAAATCCTGTTTCTTTAAGTGGTGTTCTCAAGCACAATCAAGCTGTAACAACTTCTCTAAACACCAAATCCGGAAAGTGATTTGAAGCTTCCTCACGGGGCTGGCGCTGTGGCAATCCTCCACATGCAACGCTGCTGGAGGATAAATTGAGTCCTTGGGCCTCTGCACCCATGTGGGAAATCTGGAAGAAGCTGCCAGCTTTGGACCGGCTTAGCCATTGCAGCCTTTGGGTGAGTGAACAAGCAAATGGAAGATCTTTCTCTCTGTGTCCCCTTCTCTATTAATAAATCTGCCTTTCAAAAAAAAAAAAAAAAGCAAATAAGTGGTTTTTCTTAAAGCTACTTCTTACAGAAACCAAAGGGTCTACCCATACTCTACTAAAGTGGAAAGTGACCATACCATTTCCCTAAGGTCCCCTTCTTTCCAGAGTCAATAGTGACTCTGTGGACTGGCACGGTAGCCTAGTGACTAAAATTCTCACTTTGTTTGTTTTCAGATTTATTTATTTTTATTGCAAAATCAAATATATACAGAGAGGAGGACAGAAAGAGAGACATATCTTCCTTCCAATGGTTCACTCCCCAAGTGAGCACAACGGCCAGTGCTGCGCCTATCTGAAGCCAGGAGCCCTGATCCTCTTCCAGATCTCCTATGCAGGTGTGCAGGGTCCCAAGGCTTTGGACCATCCTCAACTGCCTTTCCAGGCCACAAGCAGGGAGCTGGATGGGAAGCAGGACTGCTGGGATTAGAACCAGCACCCACATGGGATCCTGGCACATTCAAGGTGAAGACTTTAGCTGCCAGCTCATGGCGCCAGCCCCAAACATTTTAAAAAAGATTTATTTATTTTATCAAAAGGCAGTTTCACAAAGAGAAGCAGAGACAGAAAGATCTTCCATCCGATGGTTCACTCTTCAAGTAGCCACAATGGCCAGAGCTGAGCTGATCCAAAGCCAGGAGGTAGGAACCTCTTCTGGGTCTCTCACACAGGTGCAGGGTCCCAAGGCTTTGAGCTGTCCTGACTGCTTTCCCAGGCCACAAACAGGGAGTTGGATGGGAAGTGCAGCAGCCAGGATATGAACTGGCATCCGCATGGCATCCCAGCACATTCAAGGCAAGGACTTTAGGCACTCGGCTACTGTGCCAGGCCTAAAAATAAATATATCTTTAACAACAATAATAAAAATATATGCTCTAAAGACAGATAAAATTAAGTATATAAGTGACTCTTTTGTTGATGTTTCAGTTTCAGAGAGTTTCAACTAATTAGAAACAGTTACTTTAGCCAAGGCCAAGCCATCTCTCCCTGCAGGCCATGAACTACCTACTGCCAGCACATAACCTACCTGAAAACAGTTTCTCTGCTTAAGTGGCTTGCGATTAGCAGCGAATGCCCTCCAACTCCCATAGTCATACCACTCTCACCCATCTATGTCCTTCCTATCGAGAAATCCTGGAGGCAACCCTATGTGCAGAGAAGTTCAGTTGTTTCTCGATCATAAGTCCCTGGGGGGTAGGGGGACTGTCGTTTAGTGGTCCCATCTTGAAGTCCTGGCTTTACTTCCAGCCAGTACACACCCCTGGAGGCAGCAGATGAAGGCGCCAGCGTTTAGGTCACTGCAGACCATATGGGAGCCGGTTCCAGACTCCTGGCTTCAGGCTGGCCCCGTCACATATGTTCCGGAGTGAACCAGGATGCACAAGCCCCCTCCCTTCTTTCTCTAACTGTCAATTAAATATAACTTTAAAGTGGCCGGCCTCACCCTTGCAGTTTAATTCTGAGATTAAACAAAGCAGGAGCCACACCCTTCCGGGATTCTAGTAGGTAGTACACTAGTTTTCTGCTCAGTGGAACCTGGAGGCTTAGGATTTACTTTCCTTTTCCTCCCACATCAGGTAGCTTCTGGTTAGGAACTCAGTTCCCGCTTCAGGGAATCCCGCTGGCCTCCTCCGCGCTCCCCCTCCCAGTCCTGCACACACCAAAAACCTGCAGGCTGTGCACCACCTGCCCGCTTCCCGCCAAATACAACTTCGAGAAGTTAGAGAAGCACCTCTAGCTATACATTTTCGAAAGCCACGGTGATCGCCCACATTCTGGCAAGCAAAGAGAGAGGAGGGGCTAGTGAGGATAAAGGCGCCTGCCTCTACTTGCAGGGCCTCCAGAGTGGGAGCGCACTGGGAAACAGGGAGCCGCACTGGGGAGCAGGCGCCACGCGCGCGGGGAGCGGCTCTGGGGAACAGGCGCCTGCACCACGCGTGCGGGGAGCCCTCCGCACCTTGTCGCTCCTTCGTCCCACTCTGACGTCACCTGTTTGCCCCAAAGGGCACAGTTCTGGGTTTCACAAGACTCGCTCCCAGCACCGGCGCCTGGGGAGTCAGGAGGTCCCCTCCCCCTTTCTAAGAGGGGACCCCAGCGAAACCCGGGCCTCGGTTTCCCCGCCGGTCAGGGTGGACTTTGCACCCGCCCAGCGCAGGCGATCGGAGCTAAACGGCAAGATTAAGGTCTCCAGAAAGTCACGGCCTCTCCCACCCCTTCTCTCCTCCCGTACCCCCGGACAGCAAGCCTCTTAGGGAGGATTAGGTCACCACCAGGCAGCTTTCAGGGACCTAACCAGACCTGCGCGCCAGCCCGGCCAAGGCACGGGTCCTGCGGGGCGTGGGGAAGCGAAAGGCGAATCCCTGGAGCACACAGGGATGGCCGGGGGACTGGGAAGGGTGCGAGCCAGCCAGGCCCCGGGGACGCGCCGAGGAGCCGGAGCCACGCGGGGAGGCCCGGGAATGAATGGGCAGCCTGGGGGCGGCGCCGTGGGCCGCGGGGCGGCCGACACTCACTGAGAAAGACCCGGTACTCGAGGGTGAAGGGCGCGGCGCGCTCCTCGCTGCTGAAGCCGCTCATGATGCCGAGGACGAGCCGCGGAGCCACCAGCCGGCACGCGGATCCTCGAGAGCCGGAGACACCGCGCCTGCGCACTGCGAGGGCCGCCCCGCGCCTTTAACGCCGCTCGGCCTGAGCACCGCCCCACGCGCAGGCGCACTGCGCCCGATCGCGCCGCCCCGCCCCGCCCCGCGCCTCGGCCCCGCCCCACGCCCGGTGAGCTGCTGGCGGGCTGCATGTAGGCTGCTGGGGGACTGCTGGGGGGCTGCAGGCGGGCTGCTGGGGGGCTGCAGGCGGGCTGCAGAGCGGGCTGCTAGGGAGCTGTTGGAGGGGCTGCTGGGGGGCTGCAGGAGGGCTGCTGGGGGACCACGTGGCCACGGGACCTGACCTGACAGGGCAAGTGCACCAATTCTCAGCCTTGGTCCGCTGAAAGTGGATGTCTGACCTCTCCACCTATGGACACAAGGAATTCAACTTTGACCTTCACACAAGCCTCCCCACAGAGCAATTCCTTATCTCAAAAGGAGCTGGGGAAAAAAAATAATAACTTTGCTTCCCCAGAGAGCCCTGCTTGTCTTTGGTCCTAAAGGAGACTATTGTTCTGGACGTTTTAGCCAAGTTAAAACATGTTACTGACATCTCTGATGGCTTCCAGCAAAATATTCACCTGATGTGGGTCAAGTTGCCTTAAAAATAATGAAAAAGCCTTATTTATTGTTATTTGAAAGGCAGAATGACAGAGAGGGAGGGAGAGACAGAGATCTTCCATCCACTGGGTCTCTCCCAGAATGGTCTCAGCAGACTGAAGCCAGCTCTTCCGTGTTCTCCCAGGTAGGTGCAGAGCCCTGTTTGGCATCCTCTGCTGCCTTCCCAGTCCATTGGCAGGGAGCTGGTTCCAAAGTGGAGCAGCCAGGAGTCCAAGCAGCACAGCTGGCTTTACCCCGGCAAATGGCTTTTAACATCTCTTGCCAGTTTCTCCTCTGGAGAGTGGAGGTATTAAGAATGATTGATGCTGCGCTTGTAGGGGTGAGTAACTGAGCCTGACTCTACATAAGCATTCTGGAACTTGTGGCCCCCACCCTCCCTGGTAGGCGGGTACCTGCTCTGCCCTACTGATTACAGCTCAGAGGATGTCACTGCATCACTCACTTCCCCAATGCTATCCTACATGGTTTTTGTTTGTTTGTTTGTTTGTTTGTTTTTTAAGATTTATTTACTTTTATTGGAAAGTCAGATATACAGAGAGGAAGAAAGACAGAGAGGAAGATCTTCTATCCGCTAATTCACTCCCCAAGTGGCCACTATGGCCAGAGCTGAGCTGATCCAAAGCCAGGAGCCTGGAGCTTCTTCCAGGTTTCCCACGCAGGTACAGGATGCGGGATCCCAAGGCTCTGAGCTGTCCTTGACTGCTTTCCCAGGTCATAAGCAGGGAGCTGGATGGAAAGCAGAGTTGCCAGGATTAGAACCGGTGCCCATATGGGATCCCAGCACTTGCAAGGCAAGAACTTTAACCACTAGGCTCTTGTGCCCAGGCCAGTAAGATCGCTTTCTAAGTAGCATCCCTCCCCTTGTCTCAGTACAGCTTCCACACCCTACTGACACCCATTAGCAATCAGAAGGCGGGTACTTTACTGATCTTGTAAATACTGCATCAGGCTGTTGTGCTACAGTTAAGACACAAGGGCAAGGAAAAGTGCATTGGAGCACTAATTTACTCAGCAATGTAACATCGGTCCGCAAGTTGAAAAACTCCCCAGAATGCACAGTAGGTAGGGTCAGGTCTGGAGACTATTTTAAGAGACTACTCCTGAGAAAACTGCTTTCATTTTTCTGCCTGTGAGCAAATGGATCCAATTTTCTTGGAAAAGCCCAGTCTCTCCTGTGACTAACTTAGGAAGAGACAGAAATGATGCAATAATAATGTGCTACACACTTTCCCTTTTGCCTCCTGCCAGCAAGATCATAAAGTATTGCAGACTTACACACTCAATCTGGTTTCATTGGATATGCTTATAGAGCCTGTCAGCACCACCACCAATAAACACTCAGCCCTGGTGCATGGCAACTTTCATTTATGGCAAAGAGCAGTAAGCCCCACAGGTCAAGGGGAACTGAAATTTTTCACATGTCCCCGGGGCAGGGCACAGCATCTATCCTAGAATAGATGTTTAAAATCCCTGGGGATTGGCATGGTGGCGCAACAGGTTAGGCTACCTCTTGCAATGCTGGTGTTCTGTTTCCAAAACCAGCTTGGGTCTTCGTTGTTCTGCTGATGATCCACCCCCCTGCCAATGTGCCTGGGAAAGCAGAAATGGATGATTCAAGCGCTTGGGCCTCGGCCTTCCATGTGGGAGATTTGGATGGAGTTGCTGGCTGCTGACTTCAGGCTGGCCCAACCTGGCTGTTACAGGGAGTTGGGAAGTTAAGCAACAGATGGAAAATTTTTTTTTTCTCTCTATTTCTTTGTGTGTATGTGTGTCAGAGACACTCCTTTAAAATAAATCAATATTTTTAGAAATAGAGTAAAGATCTTTGCTGGGTCAATGAGAATAAAGATTAACAAAAAGGAGAAACAATATTTCCTTTAAAAAATATTTTATGTATTTATTTATTGGAAAGGCAGATATACAGAGAGAAGAAGAGACAGAGAAAGAGAAATCTTCCATCTTCTGGTTCTTTCCTCAAGTGACCACAATGTCCAGAGCTGAGTCAGTCCAAGGCCAGGAGCCAAGAGCTTTCTTCCAGTCTCCCACACAAGTGCAGAATCACAAGAACTTGGCCATCCTCTACTGGTTTCCCAGGCCACAGGCAGGGAAACTGGATGGGAAGTGGGGCAGCTGGGACACAGACCGGTACCCATATGGGATCCTGGTGAATTCAAGGCAAGGATTTAGTTACTAGGACATCATGCTGGGCCCAAAAATATTTTCTTGAATATATGAGTTTGACAAAGGAGGAATCTTGCCATCCTCAAATATCTGTCTTGCTCTGTAACCAAATCCAATGGCAATTTCAATTCATAGACTATCTCTGTGCTGTGCTGTGGGTTCTTACAGCTTCCTCCTCTCTCTCTCTCTCTCTCTCTCTCTCTGTCTCTCTGTCTCTCTCTCTCTCTCAGCTTGTGTCCGCATTCTCTTCTGATTCCTCCTGCTTCTCTGACCACTCACTTCACATTCTCCCCCTAATCCCTTCTTCCTTTCTTCAGCTTCATCACCATTCTCTCCCATGTTCTCTTTCTTCCTGGAGATACTGGGATCCCATGGAAGTCTGATGTCAGCCAATACCTGTGGGTCTAATAGCACGAACACTTTGAAATCTGTGACTAAGTGTGTTGAGCACTTGCTCAGGCTACACTTTATGCTAGGTGATAGGGAGGCAGCATTGTGGAAAGGTATGGTCCTGGCCCAGCCAGAAAATACAGTCTAGAGGAAAGTCAGACTTCAACAAACAATGACAATGAACTTGGAGGAATAGCATGGCAGAGGGCAAACTGGGCATTACATTTTGGAAGACAACCTCTGCCAAGAAGCGAACTTCAACCTGTGACCTGAAGGTTGCCAGGTAGAAATCAGAAAATAATTAAGAAGAGATCAGCAACAGTAGCCAAGGTCAAATGGGCAGAGGGCTTTGAAAGGTAGGATATGGAGTCTGAACTTTTTATCTATGATTTGTAAGGAGTCTTAAACAGGAAAGTAATGTGATCAAAATTGCTTTAAAAATAGCTGTGTCAGGCGACACTGTGGCATACTGGCTGATCCTCCATCTGCCTTTGCCAGTATCCCATTAGGGTACCAGATCATGTCCTGGCTGTTCCACTTCTGCCTAAGAAAGCAGTAGCAGATGGCTCAAGTCCTTGGGCTCCTGCACCCACATGGGAGACCTGGAAGGAGTTCCTAGCTCCTGGCTTTGGATCAACTCAGCTCTAGTTACTGTAGCCATAGAGAGCCAGTCAATGAAACATATCTCTTTCTCTCTCTCTCTCTCTTTTTCTCCTTTTCTGTAAATCTATCTTTCCAATAAAAATAAATGAACTTAAAAAAAAAAAAACTGTGTCTGTGTGTCTGTTGTGAGATTTAATAAGACTGGAGACAGAGAGATGGATGAGTGTTGCTGTGGCCCAGGGAAAGGAACCTGGTGGTGTCCAGCCAGGGGTGGCACGCTGGATGACTGAGGTAGAGCTGTGCCCAAGGCAGAATCGATGAATGTGACCACCGATCAGATAGAGGGGAACACAGAGAGTTGAAGTTTGAGGATGATTCCCAGGCTCTGGCTGAATGTATGTCCTTTACATACTCTGTCAAGATAGAGGATGGTTGCAAGCCCAGTGCCACATAACCTCTTTTGTAACAAAATCCTGAGTTAGATTTCATTTATCATTCCTCCCTCTGCGCACCTTTGTCTCAGAGCAAGCAGCCCCTCGGGCCTCTCTAAAGAAACAGTTCTCCCTGAGGTGATGGTGCTGCTTGCCCATGATTAATGTTGAGGCATAGAAATGGGATACCTTCCCCACTCAGTGGAATAAAGGGAAGGCTACTGAGGAAATTGTGGGAAAATTTTTCTTCATCGTAAGTATGCTTTGGGATGCTTGTTGTTGGAAATCACCGTGATGTCTATGGCTGCAGGTTAGAGTGGCATAGTCCAGTAGAAGCTGACTGATCCAAGCAGCTGCCATGTTCCTGGTCTTCTTGGAGCACATCCACCTGAAGACAGAGTACCTGGGGAACCAAGCCAGCAAGCTGACATCAGAAAGATGGAAAAATGGAAATCACGTGACTTCTTAAGATAGCTTTGGCCTTCTGACTTAGCCAGCCCTGGAGCTACTTTTGTACTTTTTATTGCCTTCATAATAAGTTCCTTATGGGTTCATTCAGTTGAAGTAGATGCTTCTGTTACCTGATACAATAAGTATTTTGGATAAAACACACTATGCCTGAGATAGTCAAGGTGATAGAAAACTTATGTTTAAGAATCTTTTTCTAAGATTTATTTATTTATTTTTGAAAGGCAGAGTTTACAGAGAGAGAAAAGATAGAGGTTTTCCATCTACTGGTTCACACCCCAAATGACTGTATTGGCCAGAGCTGAGCCTATCTGAAGCCAGG